AAAGAAACCTATAGATGTAGAAAAGCCAGGGTTTCAGGAAAATTAGCCACAATGTGAGGCCCCCCAGTTATAAGTTGGTTTATAAGCCCCAGTAACTATAGTTATAAGTACCATAAACCATAGTTATTGGAGTTATAAACCAACTTAGCTATCTTGGGGGCCTCACATTGCAGAAATGGTGCGTTGTCATGACATGTCGCCAGGGGGAGCATGCCACGGGCTCGTGCTGCGGGAGCACGATACCCAGCATGGCAAGAGGGGAGATCACCTGATGGGCTACATACACTATGAATAAATCATATATACATGGGATGTATATATAATATATATATATATATCTGGATAAATCATAACGACCTCACTGTTCTCCCTCACTGGAATCATGGTTAGTAAGGGAAATCATCCCCAAATGGGCCTTAATTCAGGTTTGTGAAATATTATAATTTACCCATATATATATATAGATGGGATAATGGGATAGATATTATGATTATCCCATTATTCACATGAACATTATACTTATGGTCCCATCATTATTTTGATTATATGACGATATATAGATGGGATATATGCTTGACATACTGGTTAATCATATACATACTGGTTGTAATATGTGATAATTTATACTGTAATATGACTGAATACTTTGTTGGACATCATGGGAAATACAACAGACCATATCTTTAATTAATGATATGGGGTTGCTCCGTTGCACTTTCCCCCAAAGTTGGGGTTTTACAGCTTTTACACTCTGGTACTCGTAATAACCAACATAGCGAAGTGGAAAATCACAATTTTAAATTTTCCTACATCACTATTTTTATCATCTATTTTCATGGGCCATGGCTTCCATGGCTATATTAAACAAGCAGAGGTACGGGTATACCAAACAGACCCCTTTGTCTTTTCCAAAAGGAAACTATTTTGTACCAAGGCACTTTAGTTTAATGTGTATAAAACAAGACTAAACCATCCCCCAAATCACATTTTTTATAGGTGGTGTGTTTACCACTCCCAGTCATGGGTGGTTTATGGCATTGTTTTACCAACATTAATGGTATATCTACCATGATAGTATGAATGGTATCTCATTATATCCACTAAATATAGTAGATAATCCATAAATGGTATTTTTAAACCCCATTAAGCCCATGAAAATCCCATTAAAATCCCATTACCATTAAAATCCCCAATATTAGATAATCATCCCATTATAATATACCATATACCAAGCATGTATAAACCATGTAGCCAGTCTCCTGGGTGGTAAAAAGTCCGGCATCTTTCACCAGTCTGCCAGGCCCATGCCCGAGGAGTTGAGAAGACCTATCTCGAAGCTAGGCCACGCGCCAAATACGTTAAGTGATTGGTTATGGCATGTGGCAGTGTGTCAAAACCTTGTACCCCTAGTGAACCCCAAAATAGCTGGTAAATGGATGTTCATCCCATCTATATATATATATGTATATATATGGGTATGGGTCAATACCTATGAAAATACCATTTTTAGGGGGATGAACATCCATACATCCCAGCTATTTTGATGTGAACTACAGGGGTACAAGGTTTTGACACACTGCCATGTGGGTTTACACTATACCCTCTGGTAAACTATGGAAAGATCCACCTTTTTAAATGGGAAAACTCATTATTTCGACTGGGCCATTTTCAATAGCAAACTGTTTGTTTGAGGGTAGCTGGTTTGTTGTATGAATGGTATATTATTATATTCACGAAATATAGTAATCCATTAATGGTATGTTTTAACCACAGCCCATGGAGAACTGTTGAACCAGTAACTGGGCACTACATGTTGGAGCATCCCCAATGGATGGGACCTAGAGCTTGCAGCAGGGCTTGAAAGATGCGAATTTCGGCCACATGGAAACATGGAAACTTGTAGATCGAACAAAAAGAGGCAATACTAGTCCATGAGGATCAAGACATCACCAAGCAAGTTGGAATGGAAGCAACAACTATGGACTATGGAGATTTTGAGACATTTTGATTACCACAAAAGCGGATGACCAGCAATAGAAATGCGTTATTTGCCAACAGGGACCCCCATTCCAGTGGTTAATCCTAGTATTCCAATATCTTCCTTATTAAACTGCCACCAATGTTGGTAAACCCTAGCTTTAGACACATGCTGAGGATGTGATCTTCATCAGATTTTGTTTGAACATGGGGTGCAGTCCATCCAGTGCTTTTTCAGACATACCTTTCTCGTGGGTTTGTCTGAAAACAAGGTCCCCAAAAAATCCCAGGGTTCATTAATGTTATTATATTTTCCATTATGAGGGATATCCCCCAGCAATAACCATCATTTTCCCCACTTGCTGGTTTCCTCAACCCAGATTTGAGGCTTGAAACTCTCCATCTCCTTGGGTGGGACGTTGGTGGAGTGCGGAAACCCACAACGTCGAGATGAAGTACACAAGATCTAACATGAGTATGGGCGTGTCTGAAAATGGATGCTTATTTAACGGTTTAAGTAAACTAAGCAAACCCAACATGGGGATATGTTGTGGGAATGTGGATATAATTCGGATGTATAGCTAACTTGATCTGATATTTGGGTCTGTCTCATTAAATGGGGTATACCCAAAAATCGCAATTTGATTAGGAAACATGATCATAAAACATCAACTTTGCGACTAACCTATTTCCAGACAAACCCATGTTGCAACACCCAAAAAGATAGGAGCAACATCCAGTTCCCAAATAGTGGTGAATTAGTCGTCAATGGGTTCCCAAAAACCATCCGCTAAACAAACTGGGCAGAACCTCTGCTGATAGCTATGGGATGAAACGCTCCAGGGATGAAGGCATCCAAATTGACTTAACCTGGAAGCCATCAATCAGTTTGTATTCGTGACATTTACATGAATGCATTTTTGTTTGAAAATGGGGAATACCCATGGATACCCCTAGGTCCAATGGTTTATCATTATTTTCCGTTCCCCGTTGCAATTTTAGTAGATTCCTTCGCAATCTGTTATTTTTTGTCCAGAATGAAAAGCAATGGCGCCAACTGGTTTTGAACCAATGAATCGATTGGGGCCAGTCAGGCTGCCTTGTAGCACAATGCCTTTTAAGTTTTTAGTCTGCATGTTGTGTGCATATGTATGGAGTTGGAGCCGCCCACGCGCCGCGCGGCGCACTGCTTGACAGACAGACAGACAGACTATCCAACATTCTCCAACATACTGTGGATGGTTGCGAAATCTTGTACCACCTATGATTGAACCCCTAAAAAGAATGAGATACCCTCTGGTAAACAAACAGTTTGCTATTGAACATGGCCCAGTCGAAATAGTGGATTTTCCCATTTAAAAAGGTGGATCTTTCCATAGTTATGTTAGTCTACCAGAGGGTAAACCACCTATGAACTTCCAACATCTTGGGTCCAATTCTTGATGGCAACGTCCACCATAGCTTGGTAATCTCGGTACTTGGTGCATCCCACTTCGTAAGTAGCAACAGCAATAGCTTATACCCCGTGGATTATATATGGCTTACCCAGTTATAGTCCTGGATTAGATATATCACTAAACACTTCATTAATACCACGTGTTATATATATATATGGGATATAATAACTGGATGTATATATAATATATGTATATATGTATATATATATATATACATGGGTTATATATGGATTATGGTATAGATATACCATATATCTATATAGTCCACATAAATTATTACCATATATATATATATACATATATATATTCCGTTTTCTATATGGGTTATAATATAACTGGGTATATAGATAGAAGCCTCAGAAGGCTCGACCGAGGCTGGAACCGTCCGAGCTGCTACCGCACCTTGCGCAGAGCTGAGAAGACGCAACGTGTTGTGGGAAAACATACCAGTGATGGGGGTTTAGAACATTATAAAGCTGGGAGAATTCTAGGAATATATAGATACATCTAACTACTATGGGATTTGATAAATACCATTATCATAATTATATCTACAATAGATATCTAACTTTTGATACATCCCAATGTCCCTGTTATATCTAATATGGGATATATATATACATCTAACTTTTGGGGTGTGGAGAACAGGTTTGATACAATCCCATCGACCAATGGTGAGAAAACTACCCAAATATGGGACCCCCAAAAGAATCAATCCAGGACTAGACTAGGGGGTCCAGGAGGTATCTAATATTAGGGGATGGGATTGTTGTAATGGAGAAAATGATGAAGAACCATTGGATTTTGGGTTTACCCAGCTGGAAAGCCAATGGTTTTCCAACGACAGTTGTCTACAAATTACAATTTGTACATATCTTAATTTACTGAAGGCATTCCGGGATGGTCATTGAAGTGGTTCCCGAATTCATAATATTTCTCTGGTTGTTGGTTTTGGATACCCCTACCCTCTGGTAATTTAACATTGCTAATTGTGATTAATGGTGAGTTAGCTAGAGACATGCTACCAAAACAAGCGGAGCGCTCACGACTCCTATTTTTGTCTGTGACGAGTGGTGCAGTCTCTGTACAAACCACTCACCCAGAGAGACTTGCCAGCCGACATTCTGTCAGCGGCATATCCCCCCGGGTGGGTGGGAGGGCCAACAATCAAAATGGGCAAAGACTTGAGCCCAAAATGACAGTAGCAAAACACGCTAACCCTCCGTTCTAGTGAACATCCAAGTTAGCTAGAGACATGCTACCAAAACAAGCGGAGCGCTCACGACTCCTATTTTTGTCTGTGACGAGTGGTGCAGTCTCTGTACAAACCACTCACCCAGAGAGACTTGCCAGCCGACATTCTGTCAGCGGCATATCCCCCCGAAATAGGCATGGGCATCCGCCAAATAAAAATCTACAATGGACATGCAAAAGAAAACCCACATGGTATCGACCGTGAAACAAAGAATCAAGGCTGCCTCAGACATTCCCCGGCTCTCAGTAGGCAACCTGTACGTTGAAGCCTCCATGGAACACGGATGAATGCAGAATTGCCACGGCAAAGTCTCACTGGTTCCACTGTCGATCCTGATGGTTTCCATAGTCATAGCTGGACCAGCCATCTTGGTTGCTGCCTCGTTGCCCATCTCTGGTCCAGTTGCCCCAGTCGTCATCGTCTGCGGCATTTGCATCTCTCCGTTGTGTGACATCTGGTTGATGCCGTTGCCACTCACTGCTGCGTCTCGCTTGCCAGTCGTGCCATTGACTTCCTGCTTCCCAGTTGGCCGTGCTTTCAGCTTCAGCCTGGTTGGATGCAGCAGCTGGAGCAGCTGACTGGCGAGGTGGTGGAGTGCTGCGTGATCTATCGGATCGATAGTTGGCCTTTGTAGCTTTTCGGCGGGCCCGCTCCTTGTTCTTCTCTTCGAGGAAACCCGGCTTCAGGACTTGCTTGGAATACCCATGTGACCAGGATTTCGGGAAATCCTCAAAGGAGGCACCCTCCATTTCAGCCAAGGCTCGCTGATGTCGGGCGGCCCGTTGCCGGCCCTTTTGGCGTTGTTTGGCCTCCGCATAGGTGAAGCCATCCTTGAGATCCTTCTCGAATTTGCCTGGGTGCATTTCGGGCAGTGGACGAGTGCTGAACTCAAAGTTGAGCTCCTCCAGTTTGCTCTTGCACCGCTTCCATGCTTGGGAGCGAAGCGTCTTCCTCATCTCTGGGGGTGCTCGCAGGAAAGCTTCCACTTTCGTCTTGGTCTTCTCGAGCAGCTCCTCATCTTCTGCCTTCTCCTCAGGGGTTCGATCATCGTCATCACCATAGTCGACTTCAGACTCGTCAAACCCAAAGTGGTTCACCTCAGTGGGCGGAGCGCCCTCAGAAGATGATGCTGTTGCGCCTGAACCGAGTCCCATAGCTCTTGCCGGCATGGCATAGTTGGCTGCTGGCAGTGGCGGAGGGGGCTTCTTTGGTGCTGGTGTCTTCTGCATCAGCACTGGAGGAACTGGTTTGGGGGCTAGGGCTTTCGGCGGCTCCTTTGGCTCAGGTACCTGTTCTGGATGAGCTGGCTTTGGAAGTGGCGGCGGAGCCACCTTTGGGGGAGCCGAAAGCATGGGAGGCTTAGGAGGTGGTGGCTTCTTGAATTCGACACCTTTCGTCCCTGCCATTAGCCATGCTTTTGCGCTGGGATGCATTTTTAGAAGCCCCGGATGGTCTCCCAAACATGCCTCCCGGACCTCTTTTGGGACAGAAGTCATAGGTGGAGCACCTTCAATCAGCATCTTGGCCCGTCCTCTGTTCACGAAATCCATGAACTGGAGCAGTCCTTGCATCACGGCTTGATCGAAGGTTTGGAAGACTTGCTCAGACCCGGTCCCCTCCTCAGGGAGCTCTTCCCATGCCGGCTCGTCCCAATCTTCTTCATCGAATTGGTGGTCTTGGAGGATGTCCATGTCATCGTCTTCAGCTTCCACCTCAACATACACATAGTCATCCTCGTTGTCTGGGACGGTGCTCTCCGGTGGAAGGTCATCTTCGACCCAAGGCTCAGACCCGGGCTCCAACCAGCTCGAAGGGGCCCTATATCTGGATGACGTCTCTGACCACCAAGACTCAGACGGAGCGTCTGATCGTTTCACCCCTGCATCTGCCAGTGCGATGCGAGGAACTCGCAAATCGTCCACCATGCCCCCTCCAGTGTATGGTTGGGTCGCCCTGGGGAAATGCTTGGCCGGTGTTGGCGGTGCTCCCTTTGGAATAGCTTGCGTGGGTGCCATTTTTTGCATTGGTGGGGTGGTAGGTCCTCTGGGCCTCCCATCATCATTTCTTGGTGGCGGTGCTTTCCTTGGCTTCGCACTTGAGCTCGGAGTAGGCGGATTCGCGGGCGGTGGAGGTTTCCTTGGCTTTTGCGCGGTCCCTGCTGGAGCAGGAGGGGCTTTGGCTGGGGGCGGTCCTCCTTGCGCTCCTCCTCCAGGATATCCCTGTGAAGGGGGGGGCGGTTTACGAGGCACCTCCCGGCCTGCTCCTCCCGAGCTGCTGGCTCCTGCGCCAGCAGGAGTGGAGGACCGATCAAAACTTGATCTGGCTTGTTGGAATGATGAAGCTTGCTTGGCATAGACACCAGCTGGAACAACTGGGGAACGGCCTCGCCCATGCTTTGCAGCAATTTGCTCTTGTCTCCACCTCATGTATTGAGTGGCCATCAGTGGATCCAAGAGGATCTCTCGGACCATTCCCAACATCTTAAACTCCTCTCCTTTGGCTTTCTGGACATCTTCCCCAGCAGTTGCAAAGCGGTCTGGATGAGTCTCACGGGACCTGCGACGATATGCGGTGAGCACCTGAGCTGGAGTCGCACCGGGTGGAACACCCAGGAATTGATAAAGATCTAGTCCTGGGTGAGCTGCTACAAAGAGGTTCGCTGCATTGGCTCGATCTGGAGCTGCTGGCTTTCGTCCCCCATCGGCACTTTCATCAGTAGCATCCATAGCACCAGCCTTCACTGCAAACGATACCTTACGATCTGGTGCCCACGAAAATGCACGATTGGTGTTTGAGCCTCGAGGAGCTCTGGATGTTCGCTTCGTGGCAACTGGGCTGCTAAAAGGGTTTGATCCTCCATGACTGTTATGGAATAACTCATCTTGAGGGACCCTCAATAAACCAGGATAGGACTCTTGGGGTTCAGTTGGAACAACCGCTGGATGCCTACGGACCCCGGGGTCTTTTTGGCTGGGGAGTGTAATGAGGCTGGTACCCAACATCCCTTCTGAAATCCCTTTCTGAGCGGTATGATCTTCATAAAGGGAAGCATGAACAGCATCGGATGACCAACCACCGTACCTCTTAAGCCTTTCTAAGTCCCCAGTACTTGCGAAAAATGCAGTGGCTCCCCCCTTACGTAGTGAGTGTGAACCAGCGAGTTCGCCAGGAAACCCGGCGGCCAATGCAGCTATCTTGATGAAATGGGTGATGCCCTCTCTGTCAAGCCCCGTCCCGTCTTCATAGCGGAACAAAGGCGCCTCGTCTTCAGGGCTGCGCCACCGATGGGGCTGTAGGACCTGTAGCGCGGCTAAGGCTTCAACAGGGCAGAGATCTCCACCGGAGCGGTGGTGTGACCGTGTTTGGCCCCTACCATACTGATCGGTTTTTGAAGATCTAATCTGCACTACGACTTCATCGGCCTTGGCGCCTCCAACAGAGGTCAAGTGACTGCATAAATCGATTTTCCAAAAGACCTTAAAAATCAATTTTTTGGGTATGCTCCTGGGACAATCTGGGGCCTCTGCGATAGTCAAAAACTTATTTATACATTTTCTGATGTTAACCGTGCATCGATCCATGTGCAGGGCAGTTACGCATGTGTCGCTGCATGTTAATCGAATGCGTACGCGCATGAATGAGTTGCTCGGCATGCCTGCATGCAGTCGATTGCAGCGTTGGTCGCGACATATTCGCAGCCCGGTCTGGTCGGTACTACAGCAGAAAGCAGTCCCACCCACCCGCCCTTGTCTTATTATAAATCCTGCGCTGTTTCGCTGCTCCGCTACCAGCGACTTGGAGGTCGCGCAGCAGTCGACAAAAATCGGGTTTTACCGCAAAAACCGATGCTTCCCACAGAAATCGGCTTTTACCGCAAAAACTGATTTCTACTGCAAAAGCCGGTTTGTAGCGCACAAGCACCTTCGCAGCCACTAGAAGTTTGCAGTTTGCAACTTGCAAGCTTCCTTGAAAGCAATTTTGTCCAGGCACATTCCTGTTTTGCAGTACAGGTGAACTGTTGGGAATGTGTGTATATATATATATGTGTATAATGTTAAAATGATATTTAATTCTATACTTATATATATATATTATATGTTTTCACTTAAAGGAAACAAATCATAGTGGATAATGGTGGATAGTGTATTGTCTGGGTTATCACATGTGGATTAAGTGACCATTGGGTGAAAAACAGCAGGAGAAAATCCCCACTTACCCCCAACGTTTCTAGATTAAACGCTTATTTATGTCCGGTAGATAGTATAGACCCAATGGTTGGTTTATTGTTGGCGCCACACTCTCAACAAGCAACCGTGATTGGAAGAAATACTGCACCACCGGACCTTGGATGTTTGACCCCACTTTAAATAATAACATAATCGTCAAATGGTAATGGCTTTTTTCCATCCACTGTATCACTATTATTCCATTACTGTATCCATCAATTGGTGATTTTCTTGGCAGGGATCGTAACATTTTTTCAGACCAACATGTCTGGAATTACAATGAACAACTTCCAGGGTTCATCAGCGTAGCAAGCCAAAAAATAAAAACATCACCACCATGCATGATCATAAAGGGGTGATCTAAATTACCCCGGAATGGGTTTGTTTTAGGGTTTGTTTTGCCACCTTTTTTTGACACTTTGCGCGGTCGCGCTGGCTGATCCTGCTGCAGTGTTTCACAAAGTGGCCTAGATTGATGTTGTCATCCATGGCATCGCTCAGATTTTGGATGCGAGAGACTTGGAATATAGAAACACGCACGCGCAGAGACATACATTCGATATTCGATACATGCATTCGATACATACATTCGATACATACATTCGATACATACATTCGATACATACATATACATACATATACATATATACATATATACATATATACATATATACATATATACATATATACATATATACATATATACATATATACATATATACATATATACATATATACATATACATGTACATATATATACATGAACATATACATAAATATATATACTTTTTTTTGTCACGGGTTTTGTGAACCCACTCATCCGCATGCCGCCCCGGTCAGCGCGGCTGGAGGAAGGTGCCATTCCCGTCCTGCCCAAACTGCTTGTTTTCACGGCCAGCAACCCATCAACCCATCGATATTTTGTCCCATCACGGCCCTTTACCAGTTCTAAGTCAGCGTTAAGAAATGACAACCCCAGTTATTATAACCACTTACTACTATTTAAGACTTGTAAGGAGCCTTAGCCGTAAATTATTTTGCACAGTTAGTTTCCAAGGGTCAAGGAACTTCAATTTGTGGGAATGCAATGTTAGATGGTTTCTACTGCCCGTTCCTGGTTCAAACAGTTAGTGGTCATCAGAGCGTTTGGCCTGCCTACTGGTCTACCACAGCTACCATGGTTCGATCGAAAATTGAAAGCTCTGTGGCTGTGAAGAGTGATCGGAAACCTTGGGGCCAGGGAAAGGCAGCCCTGTTGAAAGCCCGCCGAAACTCTGTTGCGTCCCAGATTGCTGTGACTTTGGGGAAACATCTTGATATAGACCGTGTTTCCACCACAGGTGAGATCTTTCCCCGTGGTTCGTTGAAAAGTCGGCATATGAAGGAACTGTTTGCTTTCTCTCGGGATTTCCATGGGCGAACATTCACTGTCCTCCTTTCCAAGCTTGTCATCCGCAAGTTAGTGAACATCATTGGAAGAGATGCCATTCCCAGAGATCCCAAGATGACTTTCGGGAGATTTGTCACCAAACAAGCTTTGCGGTTTCAAAGACTGGTCCAACGAGCTAGAAGGATCTTCAAGGTGGGGTCTGTTGAAACAACCAATTTGTTTTAGTATGTGCGCATTGAAAAACATAACCCAATTCTTCAAACACTGGCCCATAGCATTCCTTGGCTCAAAGCCCTCTTCCCTGAAGGATCTCCAAACCGAGGACTACCTGTTTTGATTTGTTGTATTTCATGATGTCAATGTTAGACCCAGAGTCTGCCCAGGGGTGCCCACCCAACCTGTCCTGCAGGATTCCAGCATGGACAATTTGGAGACGCAACCCTGGGTATGAAACCTCAGATTGCCAGAGCTGAATGTTGGTACATCCAGATACCCCGCTCAGAGTATACCAAACTATCGAGGTAGACGAAGAAATGCCTGCTGAAGAGGCTACTTTCCGACCACCTATTGGAGTGGATTAGTTAGATTGCTTTAAACATTTTGCCAGGCTGATGCCTTCATCGAATTTATGGAAAACAGCCTAGAACAAGCCCAGGCGAGAGAAAAGACTGTGATGGGGTAAGCCTGCTATGAATACATATCTTGGCCATTGGGATTCCCACTTTTATGTTTACTTACATCCATGTAATTTCGGTTGGCCCTATTCCTCCATTTAATTTGCACAGGAGAGAGTGGATCGAGGGCAGCCTGCTTGGGACTGCTCGGAGGCTTCGTCACCTAGTTTCAACCTTTTTTTCCTATATATCTATGCGCTGCCACATGACAGGTTTCTTGGGAATCTTGGCATCCTGAGGAACAAGATCAGGCTCGAGTGTGCTCATGAAATTCTATTTTAGGTAACCCCTTTGTTACATCCAGCTTCCCAGCAGGTGAGTGCCAGTGCGCTTGCTGCAGGCCATGGCCAGGCACGGAAACGCACCTCACCCATTCCATGACATTAGAATTGTATATGTTTTTGGGGTTTGCTTCATTTGCTTGGGCTGATGGGATCATATTTTGAAGCTTGTTTTGAGGGGCGTCGTCTGACTGGAAAATTAATGTGTACAAAAGTACAAATCAATAAAATGTGAATTGGCCCTGTGGCAGGATGGCATGAAATCCAGAACCCCGTGCTCCGAATGGAAGGAGGCAGGGCCCGAAACCTTTAAAACTTATCCCAATTTTTTAGGTTTGAGGCCCCTACTTTAAG